ATAATACTAACGGATTCAAGTATTTAGAAAACAATCTCCTTTCTATTTTAAAGATTGATATATGCAAAACAATATTAGATATTTATTTAAAATATATTTTTTTAGTCAATAAAAAAATATAATTAAAAAAAAACATATTATTTTTTATCAAACAAATACCTCATGATTATAAAATTAATTAAAATAGAATTAAGTTAATGTATTATATGAATTTAACAATATGGTATGTTCAAGAATCAATATTCAATATACATATATTTTTTTTATTTACGAAAGTTCTTTAAGTTTTACATCGTTTGATTTATGATACATAAAGTCATAATTTCAACATATAATAAAATCAAAGTATTATTGTAGTAAAATAATTTATTCAAATATAGAATGAGCCTTTTGTAGATAATAGTCTTTAAATGTAATATCAGTAATAAATTAATGAAAATAATTCTATTTAATCATTGAACTGTAGATAAATTGAATATATTTTCTGTGGTTAAATTTTTATAATTATGAAAATAAATAGTAAAATTCAAGTATTATCTCTTACAGTGTTATTGTGTTCACATTTTTGCATTTAATTTATGGTATATTTTATTAATTATATTTTAATAATTTAAATAAAAATTCATAAAAATCATACTTGTATTACAATATATAAAATAGTTAATACAAATATTCGAAATTCTTGTTATATAAAAAAGGTTAAATATTATAAAAAGATTGTTATATAATAGTTTTCATTCAAACAATAACTTCGCTATCATTTGTTTCTATATAAAACCAGATATTAAATAGATATAAACTAATACATTTTAGATCTATTATATTAATTATAACTTCCTAATCAATTAACTTGCTCTTAAATCACGTGAATAATTATTTTAATGAAGTAAAAGATTTCTATAACTATTTTTTATAAATTTTATAATTCTATGCAAATATACTGATTATCATTCTTGTTACATATTTATGATTGAATTTATTTTTAGTTACTCTATTCCTTCCCTTTACCTTAATTTGATTCACTCATTAATTTTATATAATTTATAATTCTTATAATTCGAGTAAATGAATGATATTACGGAAAATAATCGAAATTATTACTTTTAACATATTATTTTTAAACTAAAATTATGTCTTTCTATTACGTTTTGAAAATTTATATTTAATAACTAATACTTATAGAAATTAAACATAAATTATTATACTTATTCAATTTACATTTACATATTAATAACGATGAAATCTTATGTCCACTTTTATGATTTCTGATTTGAAAAACTGTGCTTTATATAATGTGATTAATTTTATAGTTTAGGGTATTATTCAATATACGAATACTATTGTCAGTTAATTAATTACATATTTAATTAATCATAATATACCTTTGACATATTAGAACCGTGGTTGAGACTGAATAGTAAAATTCTTTCCGACAGTCTATTTTAAAATATCCAAAAAAATATATAAAAAAATTAATCTGAATAAATCTGAAAATTTTTTTCTGTTTGATTCTTAAACATCGAGTATTAATGATTTTTCATTTTTATTCTGATAATACGATTCTAAACTCTAATGGTAATGAATAAAATAGGACTCGAGAGTTTTAAATCATGTCCATCCACAATGAAAAGGTAAATAAAAAGCGCTCTATTATAATTGTTAAAGGTTTTAATCTTAATCCAATTCGCTTCTTTTATTGAAATAAAATAAACAGATAAATAGACCAGGATAAAAGGCAGTTATAATGAACAGTATGCTGTGACGGTAACAATGAGATCTTAATTAATACTGTATCATACCAAACTACAAGTCAATTACATTTCGATTAATAAACGAGGTTGACAAGAGCACAGGAAGTAAAGGATTAGTAGAACTCCAAATTATTGTGAAATATGAAAAGTATTGATAAATAACTTTTATCGGTGCAACACGCAGTTATGATGAAAAAATTGGATTACGCATTATTGAACCGTTCGTGAATTTATTTGGTTATATATATATTGATTATGTTCATTTATTTATCTAATAGTGTTTGAATAATATTCAATTTTCGGTTTAATTCTTTAATCTTTTGTTATTTGTCAAGATTATTCTGCGAATTGTGTAAAGTAATTTTTAATTCAAAATTTAATTCAAAATAAAAACTAGGTACTTTTTATTAAAAGAATCTAAATATAAGAAGTAAATATTCTATTAATAAATTATTATTTTTGTAATAACTGATCAATTATAGATCATGATAACTACATAATAATTTTAAAGTAGTTTAAAATATTTTAAATCTATTTCTTATTGCGAAGAAGCTTATACTTATATAAAACTCGGTACCAATGATAGTAATTTGTATTTGTAAATTAGCCATTAAAGATATTTTTAATACTCGTATGTATATTGTTTAAAACCAAGATTTTGTTTGATTTATGTAAAATATATGTTACACTGTCTTCATTTATTTAATATTATAATAACGACTAATAATAATATTGTAATTATTAATATTAAAAAAATTCATAATAATTGGCTAATTAATGTATAGCGTATAGTATTGTGTACGTTTAAAAGTTTTCAAATCGTTTTATAATTTCCTTATAAATTTGAATTTCTGTATATAAACATTGTATTATGTTTTAAGTACTCATACATCGAATAGATAATTAAAATAATTAAAATTTTATAGTTTCCTTATTTATATAATAAAGAAAAGTTCTTATATGTATTAAAAAATTACAAATATATATATATATATATATCGTAAAAGAAAAGTGACAGTTTTCTTGATAGCAGTTTTATTAAAATTATACTTATTAAAAATCAGTCAGGAGATATTAACGTGATAATTTATGAAATACTCGTAGTAAACGCATTTTTTAATGAAAATTATAAGAAATCATTTCTAATTTCTAATTGTAATTCCAATTGCAGCATATGATTCATCATTATCTGTTTTCATTGCATCTTTTATAAAAAATTTGCTTTTTATGCGTATTCATAGATACAGAAATTAATGTGATAATTGGCTAGTTTAAAGTAATTTGTTTAAACTTAACCATATTATTATAAAATTAAATTTTTTAATAAATTAATAAGAAAGCTTTATAAAGTTCTTTGTGGCTCTCTTTAAAGACGATATTAGCGGAACCGATTTCTATTATACTTTTACTTCTTGATGAACTAAATTGATTATAAAACATTAAGATATTTTATCAATGATACACTGGTAAATAACAATAAATTAAAAAAAAATAAATTTAAGTATATTAAAATAGGTGCTTTAATGATAGCGCATTAATGATTTTTCATGCTTATTATCTCATTTAAATAGAAATCAACTGATCGATTAAACAGATCTGGAGTTACTAAGGAAAGATATTTATTTTTTATATGTTTATTTTCTATATCAAATGTTAGCTAATGACTCCATTTGCTTATTTATATATATAACGTTTGAAAAACTGGTATTTTCAAATTATTCCTGTGAAACTGGTTCGAACGATCTGTCATTGCTATTGAGTAAATAACGACTTTTTTCATATTATACTTTATATTTATACATTATACTTTATTAAAAAATAAAATAATATTTAAACTTTAATTTTTTAAAATTAATATATTATCTTTCCAATATTTTAATACCCAATCCTTTTTTTATTGTTAAAATATAGGTTACGAATGATTTTTTTATTATATTTTTAATCTAAGGGTTAGCGCTGTTGTAAACGTATTGAAGACAATAGTAATTATAAAAATAGAGAATCAATTTATAACGATATGGCATAAATCAATATAAAATGTCAATAAAATCAATACAGGTATATAATAGAATTAAAAATTAAATGAATACTGGATTTTTTGTAATAACGAAAAAGTGATTGTTATACATTAATAGTCGAAGAAATCTTAGAATGTAAGACAATATTCTTAGAATTACATATATAATATTATCAATTTACACAGAATAATAATTCTTTTATTCACAATATAAAATCTTCAAACAATACAGGCGTATTAGATTAATAAGAAACATTATGATATTCTATTCTAGTGCGGCATCTAATTAAATGCCTCGTCATCGTCATTAATTTCTGAAGAAAGATCTGTATATCCTGTAAAAGTAGGCTTCATTCACAAATTAAAAATCAGATTGTGAGAAACCAATGAGATAACGCAATTATGGCAATTACATGAATTCGTACAGAATTTTGCGGACAGTTGAATGGTCGTAGAAATTATTTAGCTTTGTAAGGCACCTTAACCATTGTTGATACGAATCTTGTAGCACACGATCTATATCATTGGGTAATTCTGTGTATGGTAACTGATTATATAATTACCGATTCACTAAATGTGCTTTCCAAATAAGTTTTCATCCTTTACGCAATATTACACTCATTTAATTAAGAGTAAGTAGCTTAAAAAATTTTGTAAAAAATTGATTCATCAAAAGATGCAGTGTTAAATGGGTGACTTAAACACACGAATAATATAATATTTTAATTATGTCTTTTCTAAGAAAGTACACGAGGTCTTTGTTAAAATAAAAGCTAATAAATTGAATTTAATAATTACGTGGTATAATGTCGCATAATAGACATAATCACATAATCGCATAATATAAACGTACAATAACATAATAAGGAAATAATTGTTTTATATTTAAAATCTTTAACTGATTAATGATAATTATTAAATAATTTCAAATGAAAATGTATACAAAAAGATAACATGTTTAATTCATTAGCAATATACAATCGTAAAGTAATTATATATTTCGTCAATAAAAATTATACATAAAGAAATAGAATTGTTCATAATCTAGAAAATGCAGATTAAAATTGATTTTATCTATTGACTTAAATATGATTTATATTGTATTATATTTTTATTTTTGAAAAATATTTTTCATATTATTTATGAAATAATAAAATGATGAAAAATATTATAGAAATTTCACATCATTAATCTAATACTATTCTAGCAATAATTATTTATATTACTTAAAATTAATTATTGTTTTCATTGTTAGAGGCCCATGCCAATGCTACATCGTAAAGATATTCAAGATATTCCTAAAATAAAAAACCATTAATTAAAATTTGTAAAAGACAAGAACAATTTTTGTTATATTAAAATTTTACTGGTTTATTTAAAAAGTCTATCCGACATCTCTGGATTACTCTTACAGCTTGTGTCACATCACATTCATTATCAATTGACATTCTTTTAAGTAGGAAGGACAGAGCTAACCAAATTCCACATACTGTAACTCCATTACTGAAAATATTACAATTTCATAAATACAGCAATAATATTATAATACCTAATATTTATGCGCAAGAAATTAATTATCCATAAAAAATTCTATACAAGTTATGTACACAATCTAGAGTTAATAAATAGTTTGTTTTTACAGCTTTATAACTTTTAAATCTTCAAATTTAAATAATTATTTTCATAGTAAAAACAAAACATGAAATTTTGATTACCTGTAAAGAATTATTAATTTATAAAAAAAATTTATTGCAATAAAATTTACCGGCATACTGTTACAATGGGAAACTTTTCTGTTTTTATTAGTTCTTCCAAAAATTTCCAAAAATGAACTAATTCAATAGTCGAAGGTAATGAAGATTCGGGCCAATTTTTATAACTTATAATTTTAACGAATTGTTCTTTAGACGGCTGCTATTATCACATTGATAGAAATATTTTTTCATTAACACATATTAAAAATTCAACTAACGCTATGATCTCATTAATAATGTTGTTTACCTCAGAACTATCAATTATTAGAACTTCTTCTTGGAGGTAATATTTTGAATTTACAGTCAAATGTTCCTGTCGAATAACTTTTATATACTTAGTATTTCCAAATCCCTGATTCTCTGGTACTAATTCGCAATATGTCTAAAAAAAATTGAATATTATGCGACTGATAAATAAAAACAAATATAACAAAAAATTTTAAGTATATGAAGTTATATGCTTTTTAAAATTTACATTAAAATTTTATTTTAATCCAACATCCATATTATTGCATTATAAATTACCAGTGAAAAAATATTAATTTTTGAAAAGTATTATCTTTAACTTTACCGAATCATGTAAGTCAGGTAGTTGTAATACTATAACAAGCTCAATATTTTGTTCCGATAACATTCTCCAGAAATCAGCAAATGTTGATGGCATTGGCAGTTGTGTCGTAATATAATGACAGTTTTTGAAAATTCCTTTAACACTTGTTGCTGCGATATAATCACTATCCTCATCAGTCGTACTAGATCTCTTCAAATATAATCTATTGAAGCCACCTACAAAATCATTTATTGAATATATTTAAAAATATATGTATATAATTCTGAAATCTCATTATATTATTAAATATTCAATGAAAGCACTACTTATATATAACATACATAAAGTAATATAAATATTTATATATATTTAATTGATAAACTTATATTTCTGTAGATATATTTTTTTATATAAATTTTTTTAGTTAACTTAAATACCAGCTGATTCTGGAAATCTGTGCTTTGCTCTGTTTTTGTTTAATATAGATTTTTCTGGCAATGGAGGAGAGCTCAAAATTTCATTCCACCAACTTGTGTCTACAATTCTAAATAAAAAACAAATTTAATGAAATGATTTTTTAATTTTTTTTCAATTAATAAACATAAACAGCTTAATAACAGTGAATTACGAATAGTAATAGATTTTTAAACCTTTGGTACTGTTCGGATGAATTTTTTTTTGCAATTGCAATTGCTTCGGGTAACGTTTTATCACATGTGAGGCACAAATTCTTTGAATACAAATACTCAACGAGCACCAAGTGCACAAGTAAATACTGTTCTGCATTATCAACCATATTCAATCTTTGCTTACGGGCAGACAATACATTCGCATATATATCAACAACCTATAAATTATATGCACGTGTATGTATATAACTTATACAACTATAAATATAAATTATTTTACAATAAACAACGTTCGCACTGGTACTTTATTCAGAAAATTTTATTTGTAATTATATTTTAGTATATTAAAGTACTCAAAAATTAATGTAAATTAAATTTTGTAACGAATGGAGCAAAATAAAATGTCTTACATTTTCAGAATATGCTCGGTAAATTGACATATCAAGAACAATTAAGGTTCCGGTGCGACCAACTCCAGCACTGCAATGAACAACGATTGGTGGATCATTGAGTTTTCTGGGCACAGGTGAATGTTTTTGAATTTCTTTAAGAAATGCCACGATAGATTTAGGATTTGAGGGGACGCCATGATCGGGCCATGCAGTATAATGCAAGTGTTCGATCTATTAATAAGATAATATAATAATTATAATATTACTAATATAAAAATGTATCGGAGATTTAATTAAAGAAGAACTTTTTTTAATTCTTTAATTTTGTTCAATATTTACATATATATATATATATATATATATATATATATAAGATTTCATTGCTACAGATGTATTATAATAAAATTTAAAAAAATGAAATGTTAAATTCAATAAATAATTTTTCAATACATAATTCGATAATTGAATAAATGCTACTTATCAGTTTTCACTGATTTCGATAGGTATAATATGGATTAATTTATTTTATATCTAATGTAAGAAAATTTATTATTTTTATTTTTAATATATCTTGTACGATTGGTAAAATCGAATAAAGAAAGCATTTAATTGTGACAATTAATCAAAGCAATTATAAAATATTTTATTTACCGTACGGGTTTCTTCATTTTCACAAGAAATTTGGAATGTCCGATAAGTATAATCTGAATGGACTTCTTCGCTAGAAAAATGAATCAATATTTTTCCATACAGTACTTGTTTTCCAACAGTGGTTGGCCAATATTGCTCGCATTTAATCTAAATTTAATTTATCTACATATAATTTTGGACATATCAATGTACATAATTTGCACATTCAGAAAAACTTACTTTTCCATTTTCCATTATATTAGCCATCATACAGATAATTTGCACTTTTTCTTGACAAATCATCCTCCAAAAATCAATTACAGTATTTGGTTTTGGTCCTTGTGTTGCTATGTAAGCTTTTTCATTTCCTCCATACCCCTTTTTAAAAATATAGTATTAAATCATTATTATTTTACCTTTAGTTTTATTAACCAATTATACTAACCATGATATAGCTGGCATTTATATAATCTGAATATTCATCGTCAGGTATTTTCTCTAAAACAACTCGTGTTTCATCATCTAAAATTGAAATTGACTCGAAAAAATACACGAAACATAAATATTAATTTTAAATTATAGAATCAATTACTTAGTGATGATTCATAAAGAATAGGTACGAACTTACATGGAAACAAATTTGCATATCTATTTTTTGATTTCATTTCAGATTGAGATCCATAAGTGCACGAAAAAATTGCTCCGCTTTTAATTGACTTGAAATTATACAAATTAGAAGTATAAAAATATATTATCAAAATATCTATACATATTTATTATATATATATATATATTCACTTACTGAATATTCTTTTATTAATGCGCCAGATTGATAGGCACTTTCGAAATATTTTTCAAAATTTATTATTTTTACTGGCATTATAAATTCGCATTTATTATCTATTTTCAGGATATTATTATGCGGAATTTCTTTAATATCTTTAACATGCATTCCTTTCTCCGATTTATCTAACAAGTTATTTCTTATATTGTTACTATTGTGATTTGTAAGCGGCATATGTTCGTGTTGAGAGACTTTCGCTTTAGTTCTTGTAAAACGACTGGTAAGTCTTAAATAGCATAAAGTGTAAATGTTTGATATAATATTTAAATTAAATAGATTGCACAATTGTATTTGTCTATTTAAGTATTATAGATATTTATTAAGTAGTATGGAAATATTAATCGGAGGAATTATATAGTTACTTTTTAAAAAAATTTATAAAGTACAACCAAAAACTAAAAATTGTAAATTTTTAATTGTATTTATAAGTGGATTTCATATTTCATATACTCATAATAACAAAATATAAATAACTTACTTCTTTCGATATAAGACGATGGCTAATAGCATAGAAATTAAAATAATAAATAACAAAGGAATTAACCACATAGCGTAATTTTTAGGAATTTCTCCCATATGAATAACATTTGTTTTAATAGATTTTAGAGTATTCCATTCGTATGTTACAATATTCTGTTCATTTAAATGTTTAATAAGTTGACAAAGTACTAAATGTATAATATATGACTCTTTTGAACACAAGGCATAATTTTTTAAATTGTTATATGAATTGCCATCTCCAATTTTTAATTCCTTATTTGCATATGATCCTGGATTCTGCATGAAATATTAAATGAATTATTTAGTATTGTAATTGTATTGCAAAACATTAGCTATTATACATTTGATTAATGTATTATATATAATTAAATTGTTACTGAATTTCATTACAACGTGCCTTTATCATAGCTGCTTTCCAAATAGTTTTATAATACGAAGAACTTTGTAAATCTAAAATCAGTTTTACTTCTCCATTATTATTTGATTTTTCATCACAATATTTTGGACCTTCAACCACCGCTACGAGTATACTATCCTTAACGTCGTATATCACTTCAGGTACTCTAATCACTACCGTCAGATCGTCATTAATATATGGGCTTAGCTCCTCCGTACTAAATTTGATAGACATTGGCATAATAATCATTTCGCTAAGCGTATATCCTAAAAGTCCACCGACAGTTACGGCTCTCACGTTCACTACGAAAACAGTTGATGGAAAGAGATTGATATTCATATTGTAGAGCATTTGATAGTTTGTTACGTTGACTTCTATAAAGGTGTCATGCCAAGGATAAACTTTCAGCAAGGAACTTTCGACACTCGCTTTGATAGTGAATTTTTCTAGTCTGCCACCGGATTTTAAAGGGTGACTCCATGAGACATTGATCGTAGAATTCTCTTTAGAAACAATGGTGAGTGTCAAGTTTTGAGGTGCATATGGAACTGGAAATGAATGACTTTTATAACTTCTAATATAAGTGTCTTTAATTAAATGTGGCATGTAATTTTCATCACATATATATACAATTTTCTGTAAATTGTTATAATTTTTTCACAAAATAAAATGTAATGGTAAAATAAAAATTTAAGCTAAAATTTAAACTAAAAGATAAAAGATTGTTTGAGAATGAGAGACTTCTTTTAATACAATAAAACATCTGAAATATTTCCAGTGAATAATTTGCTTATTTACTCTTGCCTATTTTCAAGCGTGCTCATATTTTCCCGGTATGGTAAAATTGCTGTGTTTACTGCCAAGAAGACGTAGATTCTGACTGAGTGTCGAATATACGTAAACAAACGAGTACAAACATTTCCTGAAAATTCACTGCAACCCAAAACTCTGCACGTGCGACAACAAGCAACAGGGATAATGCTCGCATTGTTTCCAAGTGCGCCGCATCTAATCGATCGCATCGGAAAAACGACCACGCCCGAGAGGACTCTTCATCTAGCCAAATTCCAGGAAAGAGAGAGGCGACCAAGAAGAGGTGACCAATGAAAAAGGCTCGTCACCTTCCGGCACTTTCCCGATTAGCAAATTCGGAACTGAGCCCGGAAGGAAGTGGAAATGAAGGCGTGCATAATCTATTGTACGACCCAAGATCAACCACTGATTGGTTAATTAATAAAGGAAGAAGGGATCCCAAGTGGAGCGGGATCAGTGAACCATTTTAAGAAGGGACTACGTAATGTACCTTCACTTACTCTTTCCAAATACTTCTTACAGTATAAGGTAAGTCACGACTTACTCCTTTCAAATACTTCTCACAGTTGAAGGACAAGTCACGACCTACTCTCACGGAGGAGGACCGGAGAGACAAGTCGTTTAGCTAGCTGAGTTTTAATAAGAAGTTCTTTCTACGATTGTGAATTAGTGTACAGTTGAATTGATCTCATCAAGACTGGATTGTATAGGACCTGACCACTTGTAATCTCACTTGGAGATAA